CGGGGGGGGGGGGGGGCCTTGGTTTTAAATACTTGTGCAGCCCAAAATCCATGAGTTACTATCTTTGTGGGGACTGAAGGCTGGTCCCCACAACGTAGTTTGTCAAATTTAATGAAAATGATTGGGTGTAAGACTAGAACAAGTGTAGGCTTTGAGTGTTGGGTATTAGAGTTATGGTTAGGCAAGTAGAAGTTAAGGTTAGGGTAAGTGTCCTGAAAATAAATAGGTTTATGTAGGGACCCCACAAGCCTCTGGTCCCCACAAGGAAATCACTGAATTTTACAGTGGCAACATAGTTAGGTGTTAGGTAGGCCAGTAGTGGTTATGGTTAAGGTTATGCTAAGTTTACAAGAAATGAATGTAAGTCAATGTAAAGTCCCCACAAGGAATGAAAACACAGTGTGTGTGTGTATATGTATATATATATATAATATATGTACACACAGGTGAAAGACAAAAACATGTTTGACTCATGCCAATGTGCTTTAATCTCACATTCAAATCTTCTCAGAATTTTATTCTTCTCCTCTTCGGGGTGAACAAGCCTCTGAACTACATTTACACAAAAATGAGACACCAAACTCTCGAAAACCTCAGGCTAGCCCAAATTTCAGGTGGGCTAGTCTGCTGACCTAATACATCTATTCAATAATAATACAGCTTCAGGAACGCATTAGTCCCTTAAATGAAAAAAATAATTTACAAAAGCAGATTAAAGGCAGAATTATGCCTAGAAGACATCCTCATTTCTGGATTTACAGTCTGGTTCAGTGTGACTGTTGGCAGGGAGGAAACTGTGTCATATTAGTAACAGATGACTGATGAAATCAGATTTTTAATAAAACCTCAGTATCAGTGTGGTTCTGCATGCCATTAGATTGGTATACGAGTCTAATCCTCCTGAATGATTTCAAAGTGTGAAGAAATGAAAGGTCGTGGTTGAGCTTCAGCTTTGTCTACATAGTTAGTGAGGGGATGATGTTGCAGGGTGCAATCTCTACCGGCAGAGCATTACACCTTACAGTGTGACATGTTATGGAGCAAAATGACTCATAATTAAACTAAAATTGCAAACTTGACAGCCTTGTTATTCACAATAAAATTGTAAACTTTTCTGTCTTCACTCACTATCCTAGTCTCTTGATACCTACTGTATTTTGTCTTAGATTTCCAGACACGTATTTTTATCAAGGTTATTTTTCTGAATGTCTATTTATCATTTTAAGCTTTGCACGCCTTCTCCCGCCTCCTCATGCCATGACTAGTTATTTTCTCTATTGACTATCATCCAATGTCCCATTACTCATGCTGAAATGCCCTTTTCTAAGAAACTCACATAGTCTTGAATTGTTTTCTGTTTCTGGACAACCAGAAGGGTTTTTACTTGCAATATGCCATTCTGTCCATTATTATAATTTCTTTTCCTGCTGTTTCCATGCTCCCTGTGTCCGTGCACGTTTTGTAGTATGTGTGTCCATGTGCATGTTTGATCCTGTATGCTGCTCTCACATATTTTACATTAACTTCAATCCTGCTTTCTTCAAAATTAGATTTCTCTTCTTCTGCTTCCACATTGACTTATTTGCTTTCCTTTCATCATCTCCGACAAGGTTATCCCAAGGCAGGCAGCACTTTTATGGGAACAAAGGGGCATAAAGGGGGGGCTAGTGTAGGGCCTGGCTTTGCCGCCAGCCATGCCTTAATCGATCTTGTTTAAAGGGATGTTGTGAGCTGAATGTTTGGACCCATCTCCTTGTTAACAGTTGTCTGGGATTTAATTCAGAAGCAGAGGGAATTTAATGTCAGTCACATCTTAAACTGAACAGGGGCTCCAAAGATGCACAACAAAGAAACCGAGTGTGAGGCAGTGTGTGTGTGTGGGGGGGGAATACAGGAGGCTAATTAGGGAATGGAGTTGTGTTCATGCATCATTCCAGTTGAAACATTCCCTCACTCTCTCTCAGCCCTATTTTCTCTCTGCTCTGTTTTCCTCCTTCTGTTTCTCTCTCTGCATGTATATCTGCAAGAGCCCTCAGCAAAATTTTTGTCACATCTTTTCTTTGCCGCTGGCACACAGCATGTGTATGCAAATATGAGAAAAATATAGATTTCAGCATTGTTGACACACTCTTCCTACACATGAATCACAACCAGAGTCTGTTTCTCTACAGCTGAAGTGGATTAAGTACATGTGTGTACTTTATTGATTTTTCAAATGTTGAAAACCACATAAAATGCCATCATGTCATCCATACAATACATCATCCACATGACAGAGAAACAAAACCATGAGGAACAAAAGATAAAATAGATGACTTTCACTGCATGACCCACATTTAAACACAACTTTATTCACATCTGAGAACTCTTATTTTTTTATATATATATATGTATATTTATGTTTTCAGATTTTGTTACTATTCGTTGCTGAGTGGACCAGTGTAGTCTTGCAGTCTCTAAGGCCAGATATCCATGTCTGTTGGCACCAGATGGGTCAGCAATAAAGCTGCTGCTGTCACAACACTGTCCATCCCGCAGCAATATGACTGTCTCTTTAACTTAGTCCAGCAGTCTTTCTTTAATTCACCCCGGAGAAGTCCCAGTGAGAGTATTGCTGTAAATCTGAGAGTACCGGTAAAGAGTAAGGGGCTTCATCGCCAGTAGTCCAACACGTGTCCTTGTTTTTTCTACATCAGTACAGTCCTGTGGGCTTATGTTGCCCACCTTTGATTCCAATGTGTGTGAGTATCCAACTTCTCTCCAGATGTCCTGCAGGAGTGGGGGGCACATTTCACGTCCTCACAATCCAGGGGCTTATGTAAGATGCTGTTAACAGGACAGAGGGAAATACCTAAACCAGCACTTCTTAAGACGGTGTCTGTGCACACATTTGTTTGATGGGATATTGATATAGAGAGAAATAGATAAATAGAGAAGGAGAGAGGGGAGTTCTTACTGCTGAAGTTCAGCTGGCTTGACGTTAAGCTCATAGAGATTAACCATCTCAGATCAGCGCTGCACACACAAGAGGGCGGGCATGGCAGCACTGAGGAACTACTCACAGCAGGGTTCAACAGCAGGGTAAGGGGGTTAGAAAAGGTGTGGAAGCTGAGACCAGTCAGGCAGGTCACACACATGAATAGCATGCAGATGTCTGAGGGGGAAAGGAGCAGAAAGAGCTGGAGGATGAGGGAATGGACAGACAGAAACAAAGGCAGCACTTCATGTTGGTGGATGCATTTTCCACACATGGACCTTTGTAACTCATCCTCCAGTTCAGTGTAACATATCCTGGGTTTTAGTTTCACTGCCAAGCCATAATCTATATTACGTGTTCCACTGGGACTCTGTGTGCATGCCTTCACATAAATACTGCGTAAACTATTACTGTGATATGGCAGGAAACAGAATCTGTCTCTCATACAGTAGGAGGCACTCAGATTAATGGTAGCCCCTTCAGGAAAATCCCCTCTGTGACAATTCTTGACTGTGAGACACTTAAAGTAAGAGACAAGGCAGACAGATAAGTATGTTGTCAACAGGACAGCCAATCCGGTGGATACATTTAAAATTTAATATAACAATATTAGAGATAGAGGTTTGACTGCACCAGATGAACAGCCTTTATCATTGCTGCAAGTGGTGTAGTTGTCTGTCCCCTGCAGACTTGCTTGTGCAGTGTTGGCATTTGCTCTGGGCCAAAAGTGGATTTTGGTTGCATATGGAAAGGA